TCTGTGCGTCCGTCTGGGACTGCAGAGACACACACACACACACACACACACACACACACACACAGTACAAATATACAGCCTCACACAGTCGAGCCAAGCTCATTCACACCACAATATGATGACAGCTGTATCACCCACCTATTGACATGAGCTGTCAGAGGGGCAGCGACTAACATAACACATTATGACATATCCCAGACACCCTGGCGGTGACTACAATGCACATACATTGTTATAGGTTATAATTGTTCTACCATTATGGCCTAACCTCTTTTGATCCAAAGTCTGGGATTTGTACTCCAGACTGCTACACTTGCACTGAGACTTCAGATTTTCTGTGGATTCATAAAGAAAAATGCTGAAGACTTCAAAATATAAACAGGCCTACTCATCTGTTTGAAATGACCCAGCTATAAAAGTAGGGAATAAGGTCTGCTTCTGGCTGGTTTGATAACTGATAAAACATTTACATCATATCAAAACCTCAGTTTAATCTGTAAAATAAATCAGACACTGTAGTTTAGTCAGACAGCTGGACAGTAATACAATTTACACATAAGATATTTCACTGATATTATTTACACCTGTCTGTCTACATAAAGTGGGTTTACTAGAAAACAGTTTGTGCTGGAAATGTAAAAGACATGAAGTCACCTTCAACCATGCAATGTTGTCCCTCTTTTGGAGGGAGATAGATAAAACCGTGCAAGGATGGGTAGGTGTACCGTTGCCTGAATCAATTCATCTTCATTGTTTAGGGGATAGAACATATTTACCTTGGCCTTCCAAGCCAGAATTTGTCTGAGCTTTATTTATTTTAGCTCCTAGGGCTGCCTTTTGTAACAGGACAAGCCAAGGTAGATCAGGATGTAAAGAATGGGTTAAGTTGTTGATAGAGACTGGGTCATTAAGGTTGATGATAGCATAAAAGTTAAGGATTATATTTGCTTGTTTGGAAATAAGTTGAAAAGCATCTTTAAAAAGTGTCTTAACTCATCCTTGATGTGATTCAACTGCCTCTGCTTCATTTAGAGTGTGTGTATTATATAAACTGGGATGAGAAGGCTCTACTTCATCACAGTACTAAGAGTAATTCAGTACATCCATCACCGCGTATATTTTACTAATCGGTGTGATGTTCATTGGAGGTTTCCCTGACTAGTATCTCTATAGACTCAACTCTGAGAGTTTTACATGACATTAAAGTAAGGTGAGGATAAGGACGAGGAAAAGTTGAGGTGGCAGAGACGTGAAAGTGGAAACATTGCAGGAGCTACAGAGGCTCAGCAGGGCAGCTAACAAACAACAGGTGGGACATGCACGTCCAAAACCATTCTTGAGCAGGTGCTGGATCAAAAAATATGAATGAAAAGAAAACGTGCACAACACACTGCATGCTCTTGCTTTTGTATACTATAGGAATATGACATGTACACGTTGTTGACCAGGTGTAGATGGCTTGAATGATTTTATATATTTTTTTCTACTATAGTTTTCTCTAGCTATTAAAATGAACTATATATTTTTCCCATAAAAGTGTTTAAAAAATGCTTCCTACTGTTATGAACATATATTTTTTCAGTGGTTTTGGGGATTACTTAATGATTTAACTGTGACCGGCTCTTGCTGTCAGTTGATTGATCTCCAATCATGCAGATTACTGATGGAACTTTATTTATTAGTTGATGTCTCGTATGCCACATGGTGCCTAATGGAGATCTAATGATCAAAATGTTGCAGTTTTTCTAATAAATCTTCAAGGTGTGCAGATCCTTATTTTTGCCTTTCAGTATGACAGCTAAACATCCGAATGTCGCTCTCACACAGAGACAGAAATGAGCTGAGAAGAGTAAGAGAAGCTGAAGAAATGAAAGATAAAGCAGAAGCACACTCTGGTCCTTACACTTTGACCTTTGCAGCTTCATTTAATACTTTCAGTCATTTCCTCCCTCTGTCTACCTTTTAACTGAGTGAGAAATTACCAACTGACAGATTCATCGACGAAAAACCCAACAGACATCATCTCACTACATGTGTGCGTGTTGACTGTGTGTTTAAGATTAGAAGAGACAGCAGTTGTGCTCCAGTGGACAATCATCAGTGATTGTCACCACTGCAACAGCTATTAACCTTTGTGGCGTGTGTGTATTGTTGTGTGTATGCATGTACATGCGTGTTTGAAGATACAGCAAGAAGAAGTAGACCTGCATTGCTGTTTGAACAAAAGTGAAAGTACAAAAAAGAAGAAAAGACAAGACAAAACACAATAAAATTGTGGCTGCTGCACAGTGAGGCACACTGAGAATATGTGCATAACAAACCAATTTTACCTCATCACAGCTGCATGGGAGTAAAAAAGGCATCAGTGCGTGAAATAGTCTATTATGATAAGAATTAAAATAGTCTATCAAAATCAGATCTAGAATTATGTGATGTGATAAGAACGTAATAGTCAAAATGTGAATACGGTACACGATCACATCCTCCGATATGTCCCCCAGGTCTCACATCAGTGGAAACGCCTTGCCAGCGTGACCCATTTAAAACAGTTAAAACACAGCTTTGATCACATTAGCTGAGAAGAAAGGCATAACTTTTACTGTTCGG